GTGAGTGAGTGAGTGAGTGAGTGAGTGAGTGAGTGAGTGAGTGAGTGAGTGAGTGAGTGAGTGAGTGAGTGAGTGAGTGAGTGAGTGAGTGAGTGAGTGAGTGAGTGAGTGAGTGAGTGAGTGAGTGAGTGAGTGAGTGAGTGAGTGAGTGAGTGAGTGAGTGAGTGAGTGAGTGAGTGAGTGAGTGAGTGAGTGAGTGAGTGAGTGAGTGAGTGAGTGAGTGAGTGAGTGAGTGAGTGAGTGAGTGTGTGAGTGAGTGTGTGAGTGAGAGAGTGTGAGTGTGTGAGTGAGTGTGTGTGTGTGTGTGAGTGTATGAGTGAGTGACTGAGTGAGTGTGTGTGTGTGAGAGTGAGAGAGTGTGAGAGTGTGAGTGTCAGTGTCATTGTGAGTGTGTGTGAGGACGTGCAAAGCATGTTTCCACCCACTAAACGAGCCTGCGCTGATCTGGAAAAGATCAATAATGAGAATGAGGCCTGAACTTCTCAAACACACTCCCAGTATGAATCATCTGAGCTCAGAAACACACAGGAGAATCAGAGACGCAGAGCGGCCCACATTATCAGTGACACGCGCTCGCATCATGTCAGGAACAATCCTCCATTATTCTCCAGCATTAGAAACACAATCTCATACATGTATTACCCATAAACAGACAGTATTTCCCACGTTTCCACATGATTATTTAGTGCCAGACCCAAATCCTGATTTATTTCATATCTTTCAGTGTCTTTCAGATTATTATTATTTGAAATTACATTATCTTTTTTCTGCTCACTTTAGTACTACTACTGTTTTTTAAAATAGTTTTAGGTAACACTTTATTTTGATAGTCCACTTTAGACATTCTATTAACAGTAAGTAACTTTGCAACTACATGTCAACTAGCAGTTAGTAGAGTATTAGTAGACTGTCTGCTTAATATCTTCTTACACTTCCTTTGTCAACTTATTCTACTAACCCTAAACCTACCCTAACAGTCTACTCTGAGAGTTAGTAGACATGTAGTTGCAAATTAATGAGAATTAGTTGACATGTAGTTACAAAGTTACTTATAGTTAGTAGAATGTCTAAAGTGGACTATCGAAATAAAGTGTAACCCAGTTTTATTGTAATTTTTATTTCTTCTGGAAGCACACAATTATTTAGTGCTGGACACATATTTCAGATGTTTATTTATTTAAAAATGTCAGTTTTTAGTTTAATCTATTCATTGTTACATTATCCTATTCTACTTACTTTAGGACTGCTCTTATTTATTTATTTAATTATCTATTTATTTTTAATCTCATTTTTATAGTTTTATTTCTTCTGGAAGCACACAATTATTTAGTGCCAGACACAAAACCCTGATTTATTTCAGATTTTTATGATCTTTTTCTGTCTGCAGTATCTTTCAGATTATTTTATTTGTTTGTTTTTTTACATACTTACAATATTTAGTTTCTATTTCATTGTTACATTAACTTTTTCTACTTTAGGACTGTTCTATTTATTTATTTATTTACATACATTTTTATTGTTTTATTGTAATATGTTTCCCCCTTTAAGCATATGATTATTTAGTGGCAAATGCAAAATCCTGATTTATTTCAGATGTTTATTTAAAATATTTAGTTTCTATTAATTGTTACATTATCTTTTTCTACTTACTTTAGGACTGTTCTTCTTTATTTATTCATCTATTTATTTATTTTAATCTACTTTTTGTTTGTTTTTATCATTATAATATGTTTCTCCATGTAATGAGACACAAAATCCTGCTTATTTTTTTAAAAAGAGCTTGTTTTATGCTCTTTTTCCTTCGGATACTCTTTAAATGTCACCGATGAAGTGGGCAGGAAGACAAGCAATGAAAGCATCTATCCCAGCATGCAGTGCGGCTCAGGCAGATCAATAACAGCATCCATCTGAGCTAAAGCCAGCAGAAGTACAGCAGTTTCCCGGCGTCTGAATCATGTTGTTTAGAGTTTATGTTTCGTGTTTTCAGTCTGACCTCGAGCCAGAACACCTTCAGAGACTCTATGAATATTTGATGACGTGAAGGTTTGGTGCTGATCTCTGCTGATCTCTGTTGTTCTCCAGGTTTATACCACAAACAGCCCCAATGGAACCGCTGGAAAGACGTTTAAGGTTCACCTGCAGCTCTGGGACACGGCGGGACAGGAGAGGTGCGCTCTTCTCTTCATAGTCATGATCACAGTCTCATAGTCTCCTGCTTTCCCAGTATCAGCTCCATCTGCGTCCTCTGGACCAGGGCTTTCCAATCTTATAGATGCCTTGGACCCCAAATGTGACCCTGGAGCACAAAACCAGTCATAAGGGTCAATTTTTCAAAATTGAGATTTATGCATCATCTGAAAGCGGAATAAATAAGCTTTCCATTGATGTGTGGTTTGTTAGGATAGGACAATATTTGAAAATCTGGAATCTGAGGGTGCAAAAAAATCTAAATATTGAGAAAATCATCTTTAAAATTGTCCAAATGAAGTTCTTAGCAATGCATATTACTAAACAAAAATTAAGTTTTGATATATTTACGGTAGGAAATGTACAAAATATCTTCATGGAACATGATCTTTACTTAATATCCTAATGATTTTTGGCATGAAAGAGAAATGTATAATTGTGACCCATACAATGTATTGTTGGCTATTGCTACAAATATCCCCCAGCGACTTAACACTGCTCTTGTGCTGCAGGGACACATATGTGATCAACCACATGCAGTGGGACCCTCATCTTAAAATGAAGAGTTCATTTGCAAAAACAGATAACTCTGTTTTTAACAATGTTCAAAAATCATGTTTTTCACTGTGCATTCCAATTAATCTCAATCAAACTGCAGTTGGGTTATTTGGATTAGGTTAAAAAATATTTAAAAAAAATACAGCTAATTAACACAATAAAACATGATAACATAATAAAAAACATGATTTAAAAAAAAAACAGATTTATCCGTTTTTGCAAATAAACTGCTGTAATACATTTATTATTATTTATTTTAATTGATTATTTATAATTTTTGTTTACTTGTTTATTTTAATGCTTTAAAAATGTATTGGTTTAGTCTAAGTATTTATGTATTTTAAAATAATAGTTTTAAATATTCTTATTATACATTTATTTTTTAATATTATTTATTTTACATTAATGTTTTTTCTACTCACTATAGTAGTGTACTGTTAAATGTATTATTTATTTATTTCAATCTAATTTAATGTATTCTTTTTTATTTATTTGTTTTAAGATACCTTTTGGATTTATTTTAGTGTAATTATAGTATTTTTTTATTCATTTGAATCTTGTTTATTTATTATACATTTATTATACATATTTTTACTCACTATAAAAAAAGTTCAGTTAGGTAGCCTACATTTTTATTATTTATATTTTATTATTTATTGAAACTATTTATTTATTTACCATATTTTTGTTTTTTACATTTATTTTTTCACTATACATTCTCTACTGTTAGATTGATTAATTGATTGTCATTATTTAATTATTTTAATATAATTTTTAAATGTTTGTTAATCTAACCATGTATTTATTTCAATATAACTGTATTATTTATATTTATTTATTTAAAACTTTTTTTTTTTGTTTAGGTTTTATATGTATTTATTTTTATATTCCACTGTCTTTCTCTGAACTTTGAAATCCCCTGATTTGGACGGCTGATTGGTTCTCCTGATTTGGTTCCCTTTATTGGTTCTCTTGATTGGTTCTCCTGATTTGGTTCTCTTGATTTGGTTCTCCTGATTTGGTTCTCCTGATTGGTTCTCCTGATTGGTTCTCCTGATTTGGTTCTCTTGATTTGGTTCTCTTGATTTGGTTCTCCTGATTGGTTCTCCTGATTTGGTTCTCTTGATTTGGTTCTCCTGATTTGGTTCTCCTGATTGGTTCTCCTGATT